ACATGAATGAATTTCTATGCACACTGCACATATCTGTAGTGCAAAAAAAAAAACCCACTTAAAAACAATCCATATAAATAAAAATGTAATGTTCGTTTGTGCTATTCACAGAACTCAGAAACCACTGGGGCAATTGACACCAAATTTGGACACTATGTCCCTAACAACCCAATGTATGTTCTCCACTCAAAAAAAATGAAAACAAAAAGCAGAAAGGACTTCTAAACTGCATGTCCACAAAGGGGAAACTGCATGTCTACCGAGATCCATGGCCACGACCCCTCCTCCTCCTCCTCTCGGGGAAACAGCCGGCCGTTAAAGCCAGGCGCACGTGCATGGCCACACACACACACACAAGCGAGTGGAGTGGAGGGGGAGGCTTGCCGCATGCAGCCCCTTCTCTTCTCCTCCTATGTCAGGAGAGCAGTCTCCTCCTCCTTTCCCTGTTGGAAAGTGCCAGCAGCAGCAACGGAGTGCTCCACGCAAGGAAGAAGGGGAGGAGGAGGAGGGGGAGGAGGGGAGGAAGGTCCATGGTGCTTGAATGAAGGACCTTCCTTCCTTCCTCCCTTTCCTTCTTTCCTCCCTTTCCTTTCTTTCCTTTTCTTCTTTCCTTTTCCTTCCTTTCCTTCTTTCCCTCCTTCCCTTCCTTCCTGTCCCTCCTGACTGACTTGGCCACAGTAGTCCACGCTCTGGTTACATCCCGCATAGATTACTGCAACGCGCTCTACGTGGGGTTGCCTTTGAAGACGGCCCGGAAGCTTCAAATGGTCCAGTGTGGAGCAGCCAGGTTGCTAACAGGAGCGGCACTCAGGGAGCACACAACTCCTCTGCTGAACCAGCTCCACTGGCTGCCAGTTTGCTACTGGACTCAATTCAAAGTGCTGGCTTTAGCCTATAAAGCCCTAAACGGTTCCGGCCCAGCCTACCTATCCGAATGCATCTCTTCCTACGAACCCTCCAGGAAGTTAAGATCATCTGAGGAGGCCCTGCTCTCGATCCCGTCTGCTTTGCAAGCACGCTTGCCGGGGACGAGAGACAGGGCCTTCTCTGTGGTGGTCCCTCGGCTGTGGAACTCCCTGCCTAGGGATATTAGATCAGCCCCGTCCCTCCTGACTTTTCAGAAGAAAGTAAAAACCTGGCTCTTCGAGCAAGCCTTCAGAACCCCGGAATAGATAGTCAAGCTTGAGATGGAGAATGACCCAGGAACGGCCAAGACGATGAAACGGATGAGGATTGGAATGAGAGGATATATAGCTCTTTTTAAATTGTTATTGCACTGCCTTTTTTGTCTAAATGCACTTAATTGTTTTTGCTGTTGTATTGTATTGATGGCATCGAATTGTGCCAATATGTAGACCGCCCTGAGTCACCTGCGGGCTGATATGGGCAGGATATAAGTGATGTAAATACATAAATAATAAATAAATTCCTTTTTCCTTTCCTTCTTTTCCTTCCTCCCTCCCTCCCTTTCCTCCTTCTTTCCCTTTCTTCATTTCCTTCCCTCCCTCCTTTCTTCATCCCCCTCCTTTCTTTCCCTCCTTCCTTCTCTTCCTTCCTTCCCCTCCTTCCCTCCTTCTTCTTTTCCCCTTCCCTTCTTTCTCTCCTTCCCTTCCTTTCTCCTTCTTCCTTCCTTCCTGTCCCTCCTTCCTTCTTCCTTTCCTTCTTTTCCTCCCTCCCTCCCTTTCCTTCTTCTTTCCCTTTCTTTATTTCCTTCCCTCCCTCCTTTCTTCATCCCCCTCCTTTCTTTCCCTCCTTCCTTCCTCCTTCCTTCTCCTTCCTTCCTTCCTGTCCTTCTTTCTTTTCCTTCCTTCCCTTCTTTCCCTCCCTCCCTTCCTTTTTCCTTCCTGTCCTTCCTGTCCCTCCTTCCTTTTTCCTTTCCTTCTTTCTATGTAAGATATAAATACAATATTAAATGGAAGGGACAGTCAAGAAGTAACGAGAGGAGGGAAAGAGGAAAGGAAGGAGAGAAGGAGAGAAGGAGGGAGGGAAAGAAGGAAAGAAAGATAGAGAAGCAAGGAAGGAAAGAAGGAAATAAAAAAGTGAAAGGAAAAATAGAGGGAAGGAAGGAGAGAAGGAATGAAAGATAAGTAAGTAAGGAAGGAAGGAAAGGAAGGAAGGAAGGAAGGAAGGAAGGAAGGAAGGAAGGAAGGAAAGAAGGAAGAATGTAACCAAAGAGCAAAGAAAGGGAGGAAAGAACAGGTAGAGATGGAAGAAAGATGAGAGATAGGGAAAGAAAAAGAGGAAAGGAAGGAAAGAGGGAAGGGAGGAGAGAAAGAGGGAGGGAAGGTTGGCCACAGCAACGCGTGGCGGGTACAGCTAGTCTATATAAATAAAAATGTATTAGAGGGTTGTTGTAGGGTTTTTTCCGGCTATATGGCCATGTTCTAGAGGCATTTTCTCCTGACGTTTTGCCTGCATCTATGGCAAGCATCCTCAGAGGTGACCTCACTACCTCTGAGGATGCTTGCCATAGATGCAGGCGAAACGTCAGGAGAAATGCCTCTAGAACATGGCCCTATAGCCCGAAAAAACCCACAAGAACCTAGTGATTCCAGCCATGAAAGCCTTCGACAATACAATTTTATTAGTATTTCAATGAGAAGTATGGGCCTGCTTTTGGCTGATGAGATAAGATTGTTGTTGTTGTTGTGTGCTTTCGAGTCATTTCAGATTTAGGTTGACCATGAGCGAGGGCCAGGTAAACAACCTTGGAGGGCCGCATTCGGCCCCTGGGCCTTAGTTTGAGGACCCCTGATTTAGAGAGAGAAACTCTTCCAGAAAACATCTTGTCCAAGCCTTGCTGCAATAACTGTCACTCAAAGAAAGGGTATCTTGTAATAGAATCACATTTTGTGTCTTTCTTGAGTTGTTTGTCCAGCCAAGTGTGGAAACAGCTGGAGCGGGAAATAATAATGACGAGCCTATTACTTGTTGTGCGAGTTTAATTACTGAAAGGGAAGCTGAGATCAAGGAGGGTCTTTCTTTGTTTTCCTTTTTCCCTTTTTCTTTCTGTATGAAAACAAGGAAGCTTTGGTGGACAGCACCATATATGGAGTTTTTGGGATTGTGTTCCTTAGGCTGCCTTTTTGTCATGGTCACCTCTCCAAAGTGTGGTCTACGCCCACGCATTTCTAGGAAGCTTTTATGACATCATCTCCCTCTCTCCCCCTTCCTCATTTCTGTGTCTGGAAGACTCCTTCCTTGTTCGTGGGCTTTTTATAGAGCATACTTTAGAAGCTTGTTTCTCGCTTTGCCTTACAGCTTCCTTAATACTTGAGAAGATTAGAAACCACAAGCACCCTGCTTAGACAAGACAACCTGAATATGACAAATGGCCTGTATCATGACTTGAATTGTCATTCAATCTGATGTCCTATATTATATTAATTGATCCTGTTAATTTGCTCTGTTTCCATGATTTTTCCTATGCCGTTATACATTGTCATCTACCTTACTAAACCATGCCTTGGTCACCTCTAGATTGGACTACTATAATGCGCTCTACATAGGGCTGCCCTTGAAAACGGCTCGGAAATTTCAGCTAGGCCAGCGAGCGGCGGCCAGGATGTTAACTGGTGCTCCTTATAGAGAGAGGTCAACCCTCCTGTTCAAGGAGCTTCATTGGCTGCCGTTCATTTTCCGGTCCCAATTCAAGGTGCAGGTACTCACCTACAAAGCCCTAAACGGTTTGGGACTTGCCTACCTGCGTGACCGCATCTCCGTTTACGAACCCGCACGCTCCCTCCGATTATCTGGAGAGGCCCTGCTCACGATCCCACCTGCGTTGCAAGCGCGATTGGTGGGGACGAGGGACAGGGCCTTCTCTGTGGTGGCCCCCTGACTCTGGAACTCTCTCCCCAAGGATATCAGACAAGCCCCAACATTGGCAGTCTTTAGGAAGAGCTTGAAGACGTGGTTGTTTCAGTGTGCCTTCCCAGAATAGGAAACTCCTAGCATCATGTCCCAAATGCATTTTACTAGAGATTAAGATTGTCTGCACACCCCATTTATCTCCAAAAACCTATCCATCTCACCTGTCATGTTAAGCGTTTTAAAATTTTAATCATTACATTTGGCCCGGCCTTAGTTTTAAATATGTCGTGGTGTTATTGTCTAATGTTTATTGCTATTGTTTCAATGTTTATTGCTTGTTTTATGAGTTTATTTATTGTTGTATTTGTTATGCTGTTGTTTTATTGATGTGTTGAGCATGGGCCTCTTGTAAGCTGCACCGAGTCCTTCGGGAGATGTTAGTGGGGTATTATTATTATTAACTGTTTTAAGGGGTCGCAGCATAGGATCAGTCTTTCTCAGTAGGAAAACAGGAGGTTTTCTCAACTCAGAAACAAGAAAAGAAGTGTGGCTGTGTAAGATTTCCAGTTGTTGTTTGCAGGGCTTGTTTGCCCAGCCCCTGTGGCATACAAACTCAGGGCATATTAGCATGATTTATTCTGCTGGCATAATATATACAGGCAACTTTTCTCGAGGGCAAAATCTTAACTTTTGGAGCATGGAGTCAGTCTGTGTAGGTGTTTGGAGTTATGCGTCACATGCTGGCAGCCGCCTTCACCATGTGTCTGTCTGTCTCCCTAGATGTGTGTTAAGTTGTTGCACTCCTCCCTCAGCTCTGCTTGGAAACATCCCTTCTGCTTAAACCCACACAGCCAGATTTCCCCATCAGCTTTTGCCTCCGGCGGACAGGGTTGTGCAAGCATTTAACGGCTGCCTGTGCTGTTGGAGTCACAACAAGACTTTGCTGCGGTTCTTGTTGATATCAGTCTCTATATTTCTTACTCACTTGTGTGCCCCACTGATAGATCCAACCTATTTCCTTTACTCTCAAATTGGACATGCTAGTCAGGTCTTTGTGCATCCCAACCTTCTGCCTGCTTCTTCTTTTTAATTCACTGGGATGGGGATTGTGTTTTAATTCACATTTGTCTTAACTTGGTTAGGGCTGCATTACATTTTCCGACTTTGCTCCTTTTTTCTCTCCCTAGCTGTTAATTCTCCCAAACGAGTCCTCCCTCTTGATGCTGTTGTTGCTTGTGACTCAATAGCCCTCAGCCATGGGCTGGGACGTGCCTGGATTTGATTTTTTGGGGCTGGCTATGCTGGTACATCTTGGCATGCTGAGTTCTTCTACCAGGTCATGCTGCAGGTGCCCAGCTGGCTTCTTTCCTGCATAAGCCACCACCCAGTCGGGAGAAAGACAAGCTGAACCTGAAGAGGATGGGAGACGAATCCAAGGATCCCTCTGTCGAACCAAGGTGGGAAATCTTAGACTTTTGAAAGCGTATCAGTTCAGGTCTCGGTGTTGCTGCAGCCAGGTGAACTAGAGCTGCTTATCTTCTCCATTTGATTCACATACTCAACTTCTCCTGAGTTTGGGCAGCCATAGCTGTTGTCTCACTTCCCTCCTCCAGCCAGATCTTTGCCTACAACTCTGCGCAAGTAATAGCACGTAGGTATTTCTGTGGTGTGTGGGAAACTTTCCCCTGCCGTTGCTATCTCCGGAGTTAGTGGTGAGGTTGGTGTGAAGTCTGCGTCATGTTAACTTTGCACAAATGTTAAATGGTTGAAGAAACGTCTGTACATTAAACTCTTGAACTTGGCGAGGTGATACAACTTTTAACGGTCTGGTTAGAAATCGGTGTCATACATAGTCTTTTGGTTGGTGCTGCATACTTAATTTGAATCTGAGATGATCCTTTAATAATAAAGGGCTCTGTGTGGGTGACTCATGGCTGTGTTTTGCTGTTGTTGTTCTGTGGCATCTTCAAGACTAGCACGTTGATTGTAGAGAAAGTGGTCATACCAAAAACTGTCACACACAAGTGATATCTCCAGAATGGGATACCAAAAGTGGCATTGTATTGTCGAAGGCTTTCATGGCCGGAATCACTGGGTTGTTGTAGGTTTTTTCGGGCTATATGGCTATGGTCTAGAGGCATTCTCTCCTGACGTTTCGCCTGCATCTATGGCAAGCATTCTCACTACCTCTGAGGATGCTTGCCATAGATGCAGGCGAAATGTCAGGAGAGAATGCCTCTAGACCATGGCCATATAGCCCGAAAAAACCTACATCAACCCAAAAGTGGCATTGTCATTGAATGTGACTACTGACCCACCTAGTCATGTGCAGCTGTTAGTCTTCCTTGATTGTGGTTTTTAAGAGTCTCAGATACTAAGGTCTTTCTTTGTCTTGCTACCTGAGAGATGCCAATAGACTGGAGGAAAACATCTTCTGCATGCATCATGTGTTCTCAGCTATAGTGCTATTGCTCTCATTGAACATGTATGCCCAAGGTCAAAGTGCGGTCTCTATATTTTGTACCATTTATTTTATTTCATATCAAAAGCATTGCATAAATTAGTATAAAACCGATAAAAATAGAAGGAGCACAGGTGGCTAAAGTCTTTTGACCAATAAATTGGCAATTGCAATGTCTGTAGCCTCCAACAATTCTTCCTCTGTACATGAGGCAGGGCATAGTGGACAAGCATACAAATGCGGAGTTGTCTGTTCTGCTCCATAGTCACACAAAGTGAGGGATTCTTTTAGGTAGTGCCATTTTGCCAGGTTGTCTTTTGATCTGCCCACTCCACTTCTGAGTCTGTTCAGGGACTTCCAAGTTGCCCATTCTTGGTTTGCCCCTAGAGGAAGACCCTCATGGGGGTCATCCAGTTGGGATTTCCTGGTCTAGCTGCCCAGATTGATACCCTTGTTGTTGCTGGAGGGACCCCAAGAGGAGTGGTAGTTCTCATAAAGCTTTTCCTTGATTTGAGTCTACTGGGAGGAGGCTGGTAGCCATGTAGTGGGTGGCTTTCACAGTGTTCAACCTTATTTCTCTCACATTTAGCAGCAACTTCCCATCACACATCGGGAGGGGGGGGCAATGCCAGCTAGCTTGTAGAGTTTATCAACAGGTGTAGGTTTAAGACATCCTGTGATTATTCTGCATGTTTCATTCAATGCTATGTTCACCTGCTTTGCATGGGCAGACCTAGGCCAAACAAGGCAGGCATACTCGGCAGTTGAGTAAGACAAGGCTAGGGCTGATGTTCTTGCTAATTTTGGGTCTTCACCCCATGTGCTGCCAGTAAGTCTCTGCAGGATGTTATTGCATTCAGCTACTTTGTGCTTGGTGTTCAAGCAGTGTTTCCTATATGCTAGTGTTCAATCTAAGGTGACACCAAGATATTTAGGATGGAAACAATGTTCAAGCTCTTGACCTTCCCGGGTGACTTTCAATTTCCTGTTGGCTTCACGGTTGTGTAGGTGGAAAGTCTTTTGTACCATTAGCAGTATGGAAAGATGCTGGATATACTTCTGTCCTCATTGAAAGCTACCTAGACCTGCAGTATACCAGAGTGAAGAACTTTGGCCCTCCAGATGTTTTGGACTTCAATTCTCAGAAGCCCCAACCAAGATAAGCAAAGACGAGGAATTGTGAAAGTTGCAATCCAAAACATCTAGGGCAGTGGTTCTCAACCTGGGGTCCCCAGATGTTTTTGGCCTTCAACTCCCAGAAATCCTAACAACTGGTAAACTGGCTGGGATTTCTGGGAGTTGTAGGCCAAAAACATCTGGGGACCCCAGGTTGACAACCACTGATCTAGGGAGTGAAAGATGCCCTCTTCCTTTCCTGTGGCCACATTGGCTCATAGCAACTTGTGGCCTCTTTTCCATTGCTCTGCCCTTCTGGGAGAATTAAGAACATCATTGCTCCTTTGGTGGCATTATACATCCATACAATTCACTAACCTTTTTTACACTAGGATTGATTTTAGTTCCAGACAGAGAAGGAAAATGGCTATATCTCCAATGTATTAGAGGCAAAGATGAAGTATTTTGGCCACATAATGAGAAGACAGGAAAGTTTAGAGAAGACAATGATGCTGGAGAAAAAGGAAGGAAAAAGGAAGAGGGGCCAACCAAGGGCAAGATGAATGGATGGCATCCTTGAAGTGACCGGACTGACCTTGAAGGAGCTGGGGGTGGTGACAGCTGGCAGGGAGCTCTGGCGTGGGCTGATTCATGAGGTCACGAAGAGTCGGAAGCAATTGAACGAATGGACAACAACCAATGTTTTCAAACCCTCAACTACCAACTAGTGCCTGAGAATAAGATGTTTTCCCCTTACTTCCCTTACTTCTCAGTCCACTGTACTTGATGAGACAAGGCCCTGCCAATTGTTGGAGGTAGACCAAAACACAATCTGTTCATTGAGCTTTTGTCTTCTCTGTCTTACCTTTTGCTAAAAGGTGAAGTCTGAAACAATCAACTTTTAATGGTGCTTCTTTTTTTACTTGGGTGATGGTTGGAGTTTTTATGTCGGTATCTATCTGTGTGTGTAAACTGTGTGAGCCAATTGTTGATCTGGTTTGCGGATGACTAGGACATCTAGAAAAGGCAGTCTTCCTTCATTTTCTTTTTCCATGGTGAACTGGATGTTTGGGTGGATGCTGTTAAGATGGTCCAGGAACCTGTTGAGTTCTTCTTCTCCATGGCTCCAAATGGTGAAGGTGTCATCCACATATCTGAACCATATCGTGGGCTTTTGTTGTTGTTGTTTCCAGGCCTTGTTTTTCAAAGTGTTCCATGTAGAAATTTGCTATGACTGGGCTAAGAGGGCTCCCCATAGCTACTCCATCTTTCTGTTCATAGAACTCATTGTCCCATTGAAAGTAGCTGGTGGTGAGGCAATGGTGAAACAGAGCTGTGATGTCTTCTGGGAACTTCTGGTTGATTAGTACAATGGTGTCTGCTACCGGGACCATGGTAAATAGAGACTTTTATTAAATTACTGTATATACTTGAGTATAAGCCTAGTTTTTCAGTCCTTTTTAGGTTGAAAATGTCTCCCCCGGCTTATACTCGAGTCAATATTATTTATTATTTTACTTTGTTGTTGTTGTTGTCATTATTATTATTATTATTTTGTTATTATTATTATTATTACATTTATCATTTTATTATTGTTATTATTACATTTATTATTTTACTGTATTGTTATTATTACGTTTATTATTTTACTCTATTATTATTATTTTACTCTATTTATTATTATTATTGGAGGACATGTCAGCATATTTACATTGAAGAAGGTTAGAATAATGGTTTAATCAGAGTTGGACAGTCTTATCTTGAATTACAGTTTTATGTAAATATTCAAAAACATTTAACCTACTGATGCCTAAATTAATATAATTTATTTTGAAATTGACCCGTAAATGCTGCATTTCCCACCCTCAGCTTATACTCGAGTCAATACATTTCCCCAGTTTTTTCTGGTAAAATTAGGTGCCTCGGCTTATATTCGGGTCGGCTTATACTCGAGTATATACGGTAACTTTTATTAACTCCATGCAAATCATATTTGGAATTCTTAGCAACTGGTTTCTTCTATTAAAACAATACTTTCATTTGTTTCTCCAGAAATTGAAAGACTTAAGTTTGAGGAATTAAACCTCTTAGTTTCAAAGTTGATGAAAACCAGTCCTTTAGAAAAAGCAACACTTGTTTAGATGTAATTTTTCAACTATAAATTGGATTTTGAAAAAAAAAATCAGATTTTAACATTGTCTTAAACTGGTTAGTAAGACAAAGGATCCTAAGTCAAATAAATCTTGATGTATGTAATTATACAACTTCTAATTATATTCTGTGAATATGGTAATAACAGGTTATTGAGATAGAAGATAACACAACTGGTCATATTTTCCAAAGTGAACATGCACTTTCTTTTGTTCTTGGTTTTGTCTCTTTTAAGTGAAGAGTTTTAAAAGATCTGTGAATATAGAGAATTTAGGATACGAAATAGTTAAAAGCAGGGAGGAGGACTCTGGATATACATGCAAGGGATTCAGGAGTATAGTTGGGGAACCCTATACGGTTCCGGCCCAGCGTACCTGTCCGAACGTATCTCCTTCTATGTCCCGCCTCGGAGTTTAAGATCTTCTGGGGAGGCCCTGCTCTCGGCCCCACCTCTATCACAAGTGAGATTGGTGGGGATGAGGAGCAGAGCCTTCTCAGTGGTGGCCCCTCGCCTGTGGAATTCACTTCCCGGGGAAATTAGGTCATCGACATCCCTCCTCTCTTTTAGAAGGAAACTAAAAACATGGATATGGGACCAGGCCTTTGGGTAATCTGGCAGATAGACAAAGGACAATTGACGACTAGAATTGATAGGATTGGACAATGTGGAATGAATTTACGGACTCTGAGCTGGTGAACGTTGAGCATTAGACTGGTTTTATGGATTGT